TGTGACTCAGAGGATGGTGAGGAGGGAAACGACCTTAGAGGTACTGTGGAAAAAAAGGCCTAGCGATCTGCTTCAGTTAAGAGCACAGCCAAGAAAGCCCTGTGGAACAGTTCTACTTTGCAAAGCATGGGGTCACCATGAGTCGGAATCAACTCGATGGCAACTAACAACAGTACAATTATCAAATTAATAATAGAATTATTAATTATTTAAAATCTGAATTATAAAAGACTGAAAATTTTCTGTAATTTGTATTAAAGGCCTTGGGGAAAAACAAAAGAAACAAACATTCTAAGGCCCTGTGGAGCATAAAAACGATCTGAAGATAGTTCAAAACCAGACAACAGAAAAAAAGTATCCAGAAATCGGCAATTCCTCTAATGATAATTTCACCAAGTCCTCAGTGAGGACGAACTGGATGCCAGTTATCAGAATTGCATCATCTCTATTAGTGTCAGGTACACAGTAAGAAATATGATGCGGTCATCTGTACTAGAAATGTGGACAGCTTTCATCACATGCTATGATCTAGTAATTCTGCACTCATAAGTTTGTCTTTATGACATCTCAAGTTGTTGACTTCTTTAAGGTGTTGCTCCATGAGATGAAGTAACTAGAGTAACAGGATCGATTCCAAATGCACTACACAGTAGAATACTACATTCAAAAGCCAGGCTGATTCTGGTTTGGTTTTTCTACATGTGATGTGTTGTTGTTAGTTGCCACTGAGTTGACCCTGACTTATGGTGACCCCATGTATGTAGAGCACAACTGTGCTCCATAGGATTTTCAAGGCTGTGACCTTTCGGAAGCAGATTTCCAGGCCTTTCTTCCGAGGTGCCCCTGCATTTGCGCCACCCAGGGACTCCCAGGTAAAAATGAGCAGCGAATCCTCACTTGGGCTTTCAAGTCAGGTGCCCTGAATTTAAACTCTGGCTCTACAACTTATTGGTTATGTAACCTTTGGCACATTACTTAGCCTTTCTCAGTCAACTTCTTTGTTGATAATATGGGGAAAATAAATATCTAATTTTAAGACTGCTGTATCAAAGAGAGTGTATGTCAAGTCCCTGGGTGGTACAAAGAGTTAGTGCATTTGGCTGTTAACTAAAAGTTCTGACTGTTCAAATCCACCCAGAATCACTTTATAAGAAAGGTCTGGCAATCTGCTTCTGAAAAAGCCACTGAAAACCCTATGGAGCACAGTCCTACTCTGACACTATGAGGCTGCCATGAGTCAGAGTTGACTCAATGGGAACAGGTTACTGGTATGTCAAGTGTGTAGCAGTGTGACACAGTGTAGGTGTTCAGTTAGTTGTCATTATTATTAGCAGTATTATTATTGATAACATCTGATTCCAAGGTCTAGCCTTCTAGGCCCAGTGAGAAAGTTGTGGAACATGGGATGATGTTTTAGATGTGCCGCAGTAATAGCTACCTGTTAGCTCTTCTAGCAACTGTTCAAGCACTTAACACCCTAATGAAGAACCTCAAAACAAAAACAGAAGATACAACCTTGAAAATCTGTCTGGCTGTCTTCATAAGACTTAATCACCAATTTTCAGAAAAATCCTTTAAGAGTATATTATCTAATATCAAGATAGTATAGTTGCAGATTGTAGGTACCCAATATATATTTGCTGAATGGCTAAAGGAAAAAATAAACGAATAACATCATTTTGATAACTGTTACTTTTAAGGGCTGTTTTGGTCATAGCTTTGTGGTCACATGAAACTTGCCTCATAAATCCAAAGACAGAAATGGTTTAAGAAATACTGAATTAGTTAATTGTTTACATGCTTGTTTTTCCCACCAGATTATGAGCCACATGCCTCAGTCATCTTTCTATCATTCATTCAATAACTATTTATTGAGTTCTATGGTGCCAGGCATAGCACATGGTACTGAATTAATTAGCTAAGTGAGTATGTAGCCCTGGGTAGAGATGTTTTTAAGTGTCTGTTTTGATTTTATGTTTGTCATATCTCAGCAGATGTCATTATGTGGTAACTCCAAGATATTCCTTGTTGTCACAAAGCTTAACATTATTTGGAGAAGAAAACATTTTGAGAATAGAGCAGAAATGTAGACCATTCTCAACAATTTACAAAGAATCACTGAACTAAATTATAAGTGAGACAAGCCAACCACTTGAATAAGCATCTTTATTAAGCAAAAAAATAAAAAAGGCGTAACTTTAGCTAGCATTGCTTCAAGCAGACAGATTTTCCAATTTTGATAATCTACTGCCCAAATCAATAATAGATTATTATGTGTACTGACTATCTTTTCTCGCAATCAGCTACAGGCAACTCTTAAATGGTTTTTACAAAGGGAGAGAGAAACTTTTCTTGGACACGTTACAAATAACCAGTAAATTTTACCTTGCTTATATACAAAGTAAGTACTAAACTAACCGTTATTTCAGGAAAAACTTCCATAACCAAAGTGTCAAAAGACAATGAGTAAAACTAAATTTCAGCACACGAACGTTTTTAAAATGTAGCAATACAGTGCTCATTTGAGGTCTCAGTGGGTAGAGCAAGTCTGTATGAATTTTGTTCCAGGGGTTCCTTTCATTATTTTAAAATTTACTAATGTTTGTGGTAGCTAAATCAAAATCTTTATTTTGGCCAAATCCATTACCTTTAACTTATATTCATTTACAATATATTTTCTTTCACAGTCAATACTTATTTTCACATATTTTGCTATACTTGGAAAAATATAGTTTTTTTTTTAGAAGAAAACTAGAAACTTCCAGTTATTATTCTAAGCATGTTTACAATAGGTGGTATGAATAATGAATTTCTTTATAGATTCTGCATATGCCATTAGGCAGTAAGTTAAAGGTTAAATGGACTAGTAACTAAGTATGCACAATAATATTGGGTATTTACAACAGAAAGGAGCCCTGGTGGTGCAGCAGTGGTTAACGCAATCGACTGCTAACTGAAAGGTCGGCAGTTCAAAACCACCAGAAGCTCCACAGGTGAAAGATGTGGCTGTCTGCTTCCATAGAGATTTACAGCCTTGGAAACCCTATGGGGTCGCTATGAGTCGGAATTGACTCGACGACAGTGGGTTTGGTTTGGTTTCATAATAGAATATCTAGAATATTTCTATACCTTCCTAAAATGAGAAATGTCAACATATTCTAAAAATTATTCACAACTTAATTCCAGTTTTAAAGAATGGTATATCACATCAGAATCATTTTTCAAGAAATTCTATTAGAATTTATTATCCAATCACTATTTTAATAAATTCTAGCTGCAAAGACAAAGTTACACTACAATTAAAATGTCTAAGTTTTAACTTAATTTCATTTTAAAGAGAGAAGAAGAGCCATGGTAAATCCATGAGCCAAAACATAAACTAGAGAATAGTGATGAACCCTTCAGGGAAATTTTTGTGTTTTAGTAACTCATTCATAATAAAGACTTTTATTACATACGAGATCAACAAAATAATGTCACTGCCTAGGACTTAAAAATGTTTTTGTAAAAGTGTTTTCTACTCTATTAGAAAATACCTGTGGTGATACTACGGGCAGTTTTACAATGCTTGGTCCACAGTAGGTACCCAATAGGTAGTTGAACAGATGAGCGAGGGACTTTATGCCTCATATGGAGGTAGTTAGTTGTGAATAAGCCACTATTTACCATGGGGCATGAAAACGACTCAGTGGCCTCCCAGCCCCAGGACGACCAATAATTGCTATGTTATCTTGAGCAAGGAGTCCCTGGGTGGCACAAACAGTTAAATGCTCGGCTACTAACCAAAAGGCTGGTGGTTTGAATCCACCCAGAGGCACCTTGGAAGAAAGGCCTGGCGACCTACTTTGGAAAGATCACAGCCATAAGAACCCTATGGAGCACAGTTCTACTCTGAAACACACTGACTCATCATGAGTCAGAATCAACTGGACAGCAACTAGTAATCTTGAGCAAGTCACCTAAGGGATTTGAACTAGATGTACTTCTGGATTCCTTTAACCCTTTGGATCTTTGTTTTCATGACACCTATGTTCTGAGGAGATTGCATGGCTATAAGAAGATGAACAAAAACAGCAGGGGGCAGCAGAACACTTCTGATTTTATATTTTTAGTTCAAACTACCCTCCAAATCCAGAGAAATTTCATTTAGTCCCATCTTTAAACAGCTTTAAAAAAATCCATCTAACAGCCTAGATGGTTCTGTTAGTGTTTTCATTATTGATGGTCACAGGGGCTTATTATGCCAGATTCAAATCAGACATGACTGACAGAGTAAACTGAACGTACCACACAAATATTTCAGTTTGAGTCAAAAGAACAATATATTCAAGGATATTCTTATACATGAAAATTAAAACTCACATCAGATAATGTGCTGGGGCTTTAGTCTGTAAGCCTTTCTAAATAGCTCCCTGACTTTCAGTAAAACTGCCATTTTACCATGGTTGATATTTTAATCCAAGCTGTGCTTCATAGAATGATGGTTGTCAACTTAATGAATATGCATTAATCTCACACAATTGACTTGGCTGGTGGTTCAAGTTGTATGTCATGATTTTTCAGTGCAATCATGTTTATTTTCAAACAGATTTATACCTTTAAGGGTACACAGATTAGAATGTTTTTTTCCAGTTTCACGTCAGAAAAAATAACATTGACTTAAGATAACTAACGGGGCAGTAAAAGAGGAAGAAAAACTGGATAAGAGGAAAGACTCAGTAAATACATCTGCTGCAATTCCTAAGGCAACAGCCCTGTCAGGATTATGTATTCATGTATTATTTAGAAGTTTAGGAGTTGCCACCTGCGCTCTGTAAAATGCTTAACACGCTGAAAACTGATAATATGATAAACCCTTAACCAATTTACCTTAAAATATAAGAAATGTCTCTCAATTTGTATGTAACGCAGCAACTACACGCTGCTTCTGCTTGAGAAGAGGGGATGTAGAAAGGTTCATGAAACTTTAACACCGGTTTGAAAGTAATGAACATATTTACCTGCTGCAAAAAGCATGACAGCAACAGGTCTGTAGAAACGCCTTCGAGAGCCCACGCAGATAGAAATCAAACCCACCAGGAATGCAATAAGAATGATGGCAGCGCCGCCCAAGAGTAAAGCCAGAGTAGCAATCTGCCAATCTGGAAAGAAAAAAGAAAGTCATTGCTTTTAAGCAGGAAGTCGTCCAAGAACCAATAGAGCTTGATTGTACTGCATGCTAAGCATCCTTTGGGATTTAAAATTGTGTGGCAACAGAAATTAATATAACTGTTCTTATTCAGAAAAGGCTCCTATGCTAAGAGTTTTTCTCCCAAGGACTCTATTAAGCATTCATGTTAAATCTGGTGCCCCCTCCATGATCTATTTTCACTATTGTTATTTATTTCATTTGTTGTTATTTTTATTTTTATATAAAGTTCACAAATCTTACGTATAAAAAGTAGAGAAGTTGATGAATTTTTACATATAATTATATACCCATGTAACCACCACCCAGATTAAGATAGAGAATATTTCTCACGCCCAGGAAGTTCCCTCATGCCCTTTTCCATCCAGGCCACACTGACTGACCTCTATCACCACAGATCAGTTTTGCCTGTTCTTGAACTTTACATAAATGGAGTCATTCAGTATGTACTGTTTTGTGTCTGGCTTTTAAGTCTGTGATATTTATTTTGTCTGGCTTTTATGTCTGTCATATTTACCCATGTTGTTGCGTGAAGGAGTAGTAGTGCATTCTTTTTTATTGCTGTCCTTTCTTGGAAAGCCTTCCATAAAAATCCTCACTTTTGATGGAAAAACTAATCATTAACTTTATATGGAAAGGGAAGAAGCCCCGAATAAGTAAAGCACTACTGAAGAAGAAGAATAAAGTTGGAGGACTCT